CTTCAGCTATTATCTCTTTGCCATATTCTTTAGTAACTACTCCAACTAATTTTGTTGCTTTGGCTCTGTTCCACATAATTCCTATCTCTATAATCTATTTATTAAGTGATCTCGTCTTTTTTTTATTATTTCTCTGTATCTTTTCCTAATTACTAGTAAGCTGTCCAGTTTTGGTTTTACATATATCATTTCTGTTGTTAGGTATGTGATACATCAATTTACCTGTAACGCATTTTGTTTATCTTACTTTGCATGTGTTTGTGCTATGTCAAGTGATCTGCATCTCAGGGTTTGTTTGATTCCCCAAATTTCTAAAAAAAAAATTTTTGACATTTGTTCCAAAGTCAAAAGTTCTTCTATATTTCTATTTTCTCCTAGCTTTGCTTCTGTTCTTCTATTTAACTATATATATTTTCCTCTTCTGCTTTCTTTTCTTTAGTAGCTTAAAGGCTTGTTCTTAGTGAAAATCTTGTGTTTTCTTTGTTTTTCTTTTTGCTCCAAATTTGGTCAGAGTGATTGACAGAGAGAGTTTTTTGACACAGGATAGCAATTATTACTATATTTAGTAAAATTGTAAATAGTGTAAAGCTAGTTAAACTAGTTAATCATGTAATATCTGTAAAACCATCAAGAATGTAAAGACAGAAAATACAGTAAAATTGGTTTATTATATAAAAGATAGGAAATAAGAGAAATAAGTAAATAATAGCAATTATATAATGAATCAAAAGTTATAAAAGACCTTGGTTTTGCTTTTGTTAACAACAACTCTCAGGTTTTGAATATTAAATAAATATTAAATAAATAAAATTGATCTTTAAAAACATTAAATACTTCAAAAATCTGCTCTTTATTAATTTACCCTTAAAGTTACATTGTTAAATAAATTATTTGCATAAATTATTGTTTTTCCTTATTTAATAAAATCTCTGATCCAATAAACTTGTGATTCACGTGACTCACACTAGTAGAATCCTTGTATCCTCAAATCTAGCTCTTGTTAATTAAATAATCCCTTGCATAATTAAAGAAATAAGTTAGTAACTTGTATAAGGAATGATATAGAGAAAGCTATAAGATAAGAAGGAACTTATCTTACTAGACCAAATCATATGCCTCAGCTGAGAGAGCTTTAACTACTTAGATATTTCTTTACATTCTGCAGAAAACCTGATTCTGAACTGACAGAGTCAGATAATTTTGTTATTGTTTGTTGGTTGATATTTCCGCCAATGACAATAGCTATCAAAATCATCTATGCAAGTGCTGATTAAAATAAATAAGAAGAGACATTAAAAATGATACATAAATATAACCAGAATTTATTACAATAATTTTTAATTTAAAATTGTCTTAAGAAGGTGTGACTAATAAACTTGTCTAGCTTTAGTTATATCAAACCCAATTAAAAAACTGTATTAATTTTCTTATAAACTTGGTATTACTTCACTTAATATTCTTGAAAGATGTTTTACTTGCTCTAAGTTTTATATTATCTTGATGGATAGGAAATTTGATTTGATATTTAGTTATTTCTTTAATTTCTTTCATTTCTAGAAGATTGTAAGTTTTTTTTAGCTGTAAATTTTATTACAAAAGAATCTTTTATATTCAGCTATAAAGATTTTGTTTAAAATCTTTTAAATGCTAGTATAAATGTAATTGCATTGATATTTTTGTTTAACTAATCAATTACACTAGAATTATCATATTTATTTCTAACTATTTATCCATTCTCAAAATTTGTAAATTTAGATTTTTAAATTTTTTAGTTATATAGCTTTCTTTTTACATTTATTGAAGGTTTTGAATAGATTGCATATAATATATATTTAGGTATTGCTTTTATAAAAAACTTATTATTAAAAATCTATATGATAAATTTTTTAATTATATTAAATCGCATATCTTGGTAAATAATTTGAGCTTGTACATAAGCAATCTTAATAGTTATAAACTTGGTTTGTCTTTTACTTAGTCTGAAGACAGAGTGTTTAAATATACTATAGTAGTCATAATCTAAAAGTTAAGTATTTTTGTTCTATTACTTAAATTTTATTCTATTATTTCTTTTTATTACTCTATTAGTTTTTACTAATATATTGCTTATTTCTTATTCACTAGTTGTACCTAGATTTTAATTTACTATTCAAGTTTTCAATTCGATTATTCATGATATTATATGATTATGTGGTCATAATTCAAGGTATAGTTACATTATATTTTTTTATATAAAAAGAATCTGATTACTAATATGATTTTTTTTCTTTTAACTAATTATTAATAATGATAATAGGTCTTATATACAAAAGTTACAGGAACAAGAAAATATAGCAAGCAGAATATAATGATTTTATTATTAAGAAAATACTTACAGAGAACTACACCTAATATCTTTTATAGTTTAGAACTTAAAGATTAGTTATTTTATTTACTTTAGATTTTTGAAGCATTTAAATATATTTTTTTTACTTCACATTTTTTTACTATATTTGTTATATAAACTATATGTGTTATATATACTGTATGTATCTACTGTATTTTTTTTCTTTTTGACTATATTGCTATATTTGCTATTTCTGGCAAATATAGTAAATTTGGTTAAACTAACCCAATGTTGATCATTACCTATTTTCCTTATATATACACTAGCAAAAAACTATACTTTGTATAAAGAACTATGAAAATTTTAATATGATCTGACAAAACTTTGTATTTATAATGCCAAAAATATTAATTATTATAGCTGTTTTAAATTAATATATCTAGCTAATTTTGTTATTAATAAATCATCTTTATACTTACCTACTATTTGAAGGTATTAGATAATTAATTGTAAATAAGTATCTAAAGATAAGTATTTATGAATAAATATTTATGTTCATAGTTTTAATTCTACTGATTAATGCTAATAAATCATCTTTATACTTGCCAACTAAATTAATTCGAATAAAATAATTTAAAGAGTATTAAGTAATTAATTAATTGTAAATAAGTATTTAGAGTTAAGTATTTATGAATAAATATTTATATTTTGACTTTAATTTCATTTATAAATCATCTTTATACTCACCACTATTTGAAGGTATTAGGTAATTAATTGTAAATAAGAATTTAGAGATAAGTATTTACGAATAAGTACTCTATATTCAATAAATATTTATATTATTTGTTTTTTTTTTTGATTAGCATAGATGCTAATATAATTCTTTATTAAAAACTTTTGAAATATATATAATAAAATAAAAAAAAAGAAAAACTTAAGAAATATATATATAATAAAATGAAAGAAAAGAAAAACTTAAGAAATATATATATAATAAAATGAAAAAAAAAGAATTTCTCTTAATATAAAATTTAATTTTTTCATTATAATTATAAATAATATATAATTATAAAGAGATATTGTGTGCAATACCTCTTAAAAAATCAATAAGTGAATAAGTATCATGATTATTAAATACTGATAAAATTCTTTTTTCATAATCAATTAGATATTTATATTAATTTGGACGAGGTTCACTATGTAAAATATGTTCAATTAGTATATCAACTTGTTGCTGTTCCTTATGCATCTCCTCAATAATAGTATAGGTATCAATATGCACATTTCCTACAAGATTACTCTATCTATTATGCCATCCTTCTAATAAGTTTTGTGTTCTAAGAAATTCACTTTCAACTAATTCATATATAGACCAAAATAAGGGAGGAAATAAGGGTAAAATACTAGTTGTAACTTCATTTCGAAGCTGTTGTCGAGCTCTCCTATGAATATAGTTATTTTTAAAATAATTAATAACTCCAGTAGCATTTGAAGGTATTAAAGATTTAATTGAATCAAATACAGATAGAATTTCTGAGGAAGGAAGAAAATCAAGAGATGTTAAATGACGCAATTTAAGACTAAAACTTTCATTACTACCATATTCAATAGCTAACCCTTCAGTTTGGATTTTTCTCCAAAAACTTTGACAAAAATGAAAAAAACAACCTTTATGAGTAGAATTAGGAAACTTCGATCTAACAGCATTAATAACTGATTGTTCAAAATTAGTAATAATTACAAGTAGATTTAAACTATAACCTGCATCTTCACTTAGGTTTATTAATTCTTGAAACACTTGTTTATAACTTTCCTCTAATTAGTTTTTTATTAAAATATATACTAAAGGAAAGATTTGAAAATTATTTTCTCCTCCAACTGGAGTATGAATAGTATATAGTTGTTGAAAAAGTGTTGGTACAGTTTTAATTGTTCCATCTATAATTCAATAATTTGCTTCCTCAAGATAGAGTAAGTTATTAATAGTACAAAAAATCATAATTTTTTCATTATTAAGATCTATTTCCTTAGCTAAAAATTATTCTCCTCTCATAGTTACTTGTAATTGAATAGGAATATTTATTTCTTCTAAGGATTGTAGTTGAGAAGGAAGATTTTTAAGTTGAATACATGAAATTTGTTTACGCAATGCCTCATTATTAGGCATATAATAAAAAGAATCTTTAGGTATATTAATTACTATATCTTGAATTATTTGGGATAGTTTTTCACGAGTTTGAGATACCTTTTCTTTTATATTATTTAATGCTTGAATTACATGGTTTAGCTCTGATAGTTAATGTGGTACTGTGTTTAATTATTTAATTACTATAAGAGTAAGTAATATCGATAGAGTTCTATAACTTATTTATAAATAGGTTAGTAGTGGTTAATCAGAAGGGAGGATAATTTAAAGGGATCATGAGTATAAGGTTCTAAGCAGGGGTGGTATTACTATTAAATGTATGGAACTCAAATGTACTATAATAAATCTGATAACTTAAAAGTAATCTGAGTATTGATCATAATACCAATAATAAAATAATCATAATATCCAGATCCTATTATCAATCTAAACAATAATACTATATATAACATTATTTCTTGTATAACTTGTTAAGAATATGGCTCTTAGTTACTCAGTGAAAGGTCTATTCAGTCCCATTGCTTACTTCCTTTATGTTAATTCAGAGATATAGCATATACTTTAATAATAAAAGAAAACATAGTGAGGAATCGATTTATTTAATTTAGTTAAGTTTTTATATTTGGAAATTTAAGGATTCATGATTTTTAAGGTAATAGTGATTTATTTTTTTATTGATAACTTAATTTATAGCTTATAACTGGTCTTTTAGAAAGGCAAAAAGAACCTATATTTATATATTTTTGTTCGCGAAGGCTATACTAAGTAAATTCTATATATGATTATATCGCTCAGATCTTTATAAGCAGTTGTTTATACCTTTGTAAGCAGTTGTTTGTTTCTTCATGAGTAGTTGCTTTACTTGTGATTAAACCATCCTAGGTAACATGAAATTACACTGCTCATATTACTAATCTATGGCTTATTCAATTATACGCTATAGCCCTAACTACTCATGTTAATATTATATGCTTGCCTTAACTGCTTATCCTAATGTTTATAGATATAGCTACTACAGTTCTTAAACGTAAACAAGGGCATGAGTAGGATGAATTGCAAATAAATAACTATATACTGATATAAAAAAAACTATAATACTATAAATAAATAAATAATAATAAGAAAATAATAAGGAAAAATTGTGACTTGAACTGGAGCACCAATTTACATTCTAACACTATGCTAGGAGAATTCAAGTAAAACTACGCTTCGATTGAAGTCTCTACCTAGAGTGTAGATTAAGTTTGTTAAATATTATCTAGAGAACAAGAAATAAGTATTGCTAGTATTAACAAAATAAGAGTAGAAAGGAAGAAAAAATAATTGAGTCAAATAATAAGAACAAGAAAATACTCTAATTCTTAGACCAAATATTTTCATATCTCAATTAAAACCTCACATATTAAAGCATAGGATAGTATTAGATTCTACTAGTATGGTTCAGTTCTGGTAGAATTCACTATTTATTTTGCTAACAGCAATTTCGCTGACAATTTTTAACCAATACTAACTATAAAGTGAGCCAACTCTAAATAATTCAGAGAAAAATTTGTTGGTAAAATTAGTTTATATCTGCTAGTATAAATTTTTATTACTATATTTTTATCTTACCAAAATAAAGTGAGCAAAACTGTTCACTTCAAATTACAAAATAAATCAAAATCTAGTTTTTTTTGTTAATTCTTTATTTGAAGTAGAGGTTGGAACCAAATTATGAAATTCAACTTCAACTTCAGGTTAAACTGGTTTAAATAGTAAATCATTTTGTAATGTTTTAATTTGGTTGTAACTTTCTGACAAACTGGTTTTTAAATTAGCATTCAGTTTTATTTATTTTCTATCAAATTTCGAAATTACTATTAATAACAATATATCTAATGTAACAAAAAAAATAATTTTAGGTTTTTCTTTTGGAGAAAATATTTATTCAACAATTCGAGTTAAATTCAGTTTAAGATAGTCCGGTTTAACATAAATTAATTTTTTTTATAATCGTATTTAAACAATTCAAGTTTTAAATTTTACAACTGATTCTGACCTCTAATTTGAAGCAGCAAAGTGAAAACCTAAAACTGAATACTTAAGTATTCACTGTAACGAACTTAATTCTTGAAAGATTATAATATTATATATTGGTATTGATGAATAGTGTTTTTGTTTTTCATATTTACTAAAAGTCTAGACTCTATCTAGACTCTTCGAGCAAGGATGACAAAAACAAAATACTGATCATAATTTTTTAAGGGCTAAGTTCTTTACAGTTAAAATTAAGTATTCAGTCACTCTGCATATTCATTTTTATGATACATAGATGTGATTTATTATCTATTCATCTTTATTATAATATCTATTAATTTATTTATACATAAAGATTATGCTACTAAATAATTAGTGAAATAGGCTGTCGATAAAATATCCGATTGTTAAAATAGGTTGTTAGGAAAAGGGTATTCAGAAAAACTTTATGTCAATGAAAGGTTCAGTTGGAAATATGTTATATTGGGAAAATGTCTTGTCAGAAATATAGTATTTCAGGAAAAGGTGCTGTCGAAAGTATATTATGTCAGGTAAATATCTTATCTATAAAATGCACTGAAGATAAAATATCATATCAGTAATATGGTGTCAAGGAAATGAAATAGCGTGAGAATGACTTTTGAGAGATCAAGTGTATACCTAATTTACTATAAATTGACTTATATGAAGGTTTAGAAGATTTTGAAAACTATTTAGAAATAACTTGAATACATAGTATATCATTAATAATATTATTATTAAAAATCAAAAATAATAACATATAATAATAAATAAATAATGATAAGTAAATAAAATAAAATTATCTCAACTAATGCATTAAATTCTTTATCTAATATTTTTTGAGTTGAGAATATCTTTCTAATCTATCAATAGATAATAAAAAAACATTTTTACTAACTTTTGCATATAATTTCCAAGTTTGAATTAAAGAATTTATAATATCATTTTGATGAAGTTTTAATCGAATTTTTGTTTTATCTAAATAATTATACTTAATATCACTAATTGTTAAAAATTATTTTAAAATAAATAGAAGTATTATTAAAAAGTATAAATTGTCAGACAACATAAATGAATATCTATGAGTTATTAAATTTGGCAAATATACTCATCTTTTAAAAACTTTAAAATGTTTTCAGTATTTCATTAAATTATTTTCATCTTGTAATATTAATATTGAACAGGTACAGTTTAGAAGTTATACAATCTTGCCTGCAATAGTAAAGTATATATCTTGTAGTATATATTAATAGCGATCATGAATAATTAAATCTAATAAATCTAGTAATGATCATAACTTATATTGTAAACAGAATTGGGCTTGAGCTGAATTAGTAGATTATTCATTTATTATTTTATATTCTTGGTTGGTTATATCATAGTACCTGCTATAATAATATACATCATATGTAATATTTGTTAAGTCATTTTAGAGGCTTTCAACTTTGGTATTTAAGATTAGCATTATGATACAATACTCCTAAAATATCATTTTCTTAAGGAAGATCAGCTGTAACCATTGCCAACTTACCTGAAATCTAACAATCTATACTATTTATGTTTATAATAAAACTTTGCTCAAGTTGCTAGACCTCTTTAATAAAATCTTTAATAAAGTCTTTAAATTCATCTCTAAAGGGGATCAATTCAACTATAAAATGATTATGCAATTATTTTTTAATTGTCTTAGCATATTGCCAATTTGTAAGTATACATTATTCAAAAAATTATAGGTATTATGAAATATATCAAAATTATCATAATATAAAACTAGATAGAACTTAAAATTAGTATATTTTCTAGTAAATTAAATAGTTGTGTAGTTTCTAATAGGTGTTTATGATATAACTTTATTCAACAAAACTTCTACCTGCTATTATATTTGTATAAAATTTATTTACAAAAAAGTTAATAACAGATAGTTTAAATTAGTCTTTAAGCCAAATATTAACATAATATATTAATGATGATGGGTCACTAATAAAAGATTCTAATTCCTCTACTAAATATCTTTTCTTTGCTGAGTATAATGAGTTTTGTTTTGAATATAGATATTGCAGAATTTGTTCATATGAAAATAATCTTTGAATTCAGGATACAATTTTTTATTATTAATAACAAAAGATCTAATTTGACTAACTTTAATAGAATTTGAAGTTGAATACTGAACAAAATTCCCACAATTAAATGAATATAAATATATTAAATAAATTATACAGTATAATATATTATAAATATAATATTAAATAAAGCTATTTGAAATTAAACCTTCAGTTAATATCATTCCTTCCTATTCAACTGCACCCAAAATTAAACAACTTTTATGAATTATTTGTGACTATGCATAGTGATATTAACTGAAGATTTGACTGCAAATAGTATAAAAATATAATATAAACATAAACTTTGTGTGGTAACTAAATTTGGTTAACCAAAAAGAGGTGATTTAGCTCAGAGATTACCTTCCTATAGTTCTTCACATGATTTTGAAAATATAACTAGTTCAAAATATAATTGTGAACTAAGAGAAGGATTTTTTAAGATATGTTAAAAGTATTCAATTAAAGAGAAATAATAAACTCAAGCAGAATCTTTTATGGTTGATAGTGTATTTTTGATATTTATTGAAATAACATAGCTTTGAATTTTCATAAATAGTAATTGCTTATGTTGCTTTTTAAGAGTTTGTAAATTAGTAGTTAAATGTTTTAGATTAAATTAAGGGTTAATTAAGATTTGTATTAAGTCTCAGTAGGCTGCAGTTGCTAAAGAGAAAACAAAATAAAATATTAAGTTTTTTAATGTATTTAATATCTCAAAAACTAGCAAATTAACTGCTACAGATACATTTTATAATAAATATTACAAAATACCTACAAATCATATATTTAGTAGTCTATATAAATATTGCTAAATTTGTAAAATTTTTAAAGAATCCAAATAGGCTTTCTTGATTCCAACTTATATCAGATTTTGTACTATCAAATATTTTAAGTAAATCATCTAAATTATTTGTTAATTTATTTTCTAGATCTTAGTTGTTGTCAAACTCTCAATTATATTCTATTTTATGTTCATTGTAATCTGAGTTATTATTAAATTTCTAATCATATTCTATTTTATCTCTAAGTATAGAGCTGAAATTTAGATCACTATTACTGAATTGTTAATTATTATTATCAGTATAAGATTGGTTACTAGTAAGCTCAAGTTATTGAATATTAGTATATTCATAATCAAGTTGTTAATAATTACTACAAGGTATTTTACTAGATTGAAAGTTCATATTATTCAAATTGTGATTTGAGTTAGAAAAAGTAAAGTTACTAATATTTGTTTTCTTTGAACATAAATGTAAATCATATAATTAGTTTGGAGTATTTTTCTTAAATCTATTACAAAGAGAAAATATAATTTTAGAATTCAAAAAAGTTCTAAATTTTATTTTTTAAAAAAAAAAAAATCAAAAAAGTTCTAAGTTTTATTTTTTTAAAAAAAAGTAGAAAAACAATTTTGAATAACAAAACAAGAGATTAAAATATTAATTTTATATATATGATTAAAATAATAATTATAATAATATTGATTAAATAATGATCTATTAATTTTTGATTAAATAATGATCTATTATATTGAAAATTAATTATATATTTTTCAATAAAAAATAAATTCAGTTTTTGCTAAAAAAAAAAAGAGAGAGAAAGAATGCAAATATTGTAGTAGAAAAAGTATAAAAATAATTTAAATATTATTATTAATAATCTATTATATTGAAAATCAAATTTATAAATTGTACATTTTTTAGCAAAAAATGAATTCAGTTTCTGCTAAAAAAAAAAAAGGTAAAAAGAGAAATTATAAACTATTGTAGTAGAAAAGGTATGATTTAAATAATAATATTTTACTAAGAACAAAAATATAAAATTATATGTATTTTAGAAGCTTATTAAAATTAATTACATTATAAGGCTGTTTCAAGTTGATTTTTATATTAATGTCAGAATTTTAGGCTCAGGTATGAGAGAATTTTTCAAGTGCTTTGCTTATATATATATTCTATTATATAATTAGCTTGTTTAATTTTTAGAGTAACTGCTAAAGGGTGAGTAATATTAATCTAAAATCAACTTTGAATAGCCTAATATAAAAATAAGAATTAGAGTTTTGAATCAGGTTTTATTTTTAATATAATAAAATCAGTTTTAACAGGTTTTAACATGATAATGTATGTACTTTAAAACTATTAGTCAGTTCAAATTTAGAAATTAGGTTTTAGAAAGATCTACAAACAGATTTATATATTTGATTAGTCATCATACTTCTTTTTTTTTATGCATGTATTCATGCTTGAGTTTTACAATATTTCTTATATGTATCTATTTGTTACTAAAATATAATGAAAGTAATAAATCTTATACTAACATGATGAGTTGACTAAACATAGCATGATAGTAAAAAAGAATATAGCATATAGAATATAGTATGATAGTTAGAATAAATGCATAATAATAGTAAGAATAAATATAATACAATAGTTAAGGCAAACATAGTATAATAAGTAGATTAGAGACAAATCTAACATAGTTAGAACAAATATATATGACATTTGAGACAAGTATAAAATAGTAATTAGAATATATATAGTATAATAGTTGAATGAATATAGCATATTAGTTGGAGTATAGCAATATAGTATAATAGTTAA